CCCCCACCCAAATCCTTCCAAACGGGTGGAGCCAAGTCGTTGGGACCTATTTCCTTTGGAAAGAGGTGTCCCTAGGCGAGGACTTACCTCTTCACGTCTTCGAAACCCTTTTTCATGCCAGGGTCGTGGGTAAGGATAACTCAAAGGGGTGGTACTACATCACCCCTTGGGGCTCCCACCCCCCCTTCGTAGTTGGGCTCCCCTCCTTCATAAAGGGGTGGAAGGAGTCCTGGTTCTGGGTAACAGGTAGGTGGCAGATGGTTGAGGGAGATGCAGTCCCGGCCTGTGAGTGTCATCCTGAATTCGTGTAATTCCTTCATAGCCTATTGATACTAACACGTGTGTGTTTACTTGCAGATTGCAGCACGAGGTACAAGCTTTCCGAGGCAGAGTGGACTGTTATTGAGGATATTTACCAGCGACCTCCGAGGCTCCGAAGCTTCTCCCATCTCATTGATAGGAGCAAATATTTCATAGACTTTGGACTCATGGCCCCTAAAGGTAAGAGGCTGTTCAACTTAGAGTATTTGTGAGTAAGTAGGCGCTTCGCCACCATTCGTGAAATTAACTTCATCTCTCCTTGATTACAGATAAATTCACCAAGAAGGAGTACCCTTTGCCTGATATGGCCAGCATAACGAGGGCCACGTCTACTACTGGGGCAAAGACACTGCAGTCCGGATCCTTTGGGGCTAAACAATTGAAATCAAAATTGGATCGCCTCAGCAAGAACAAGAATGATAAAGAGGCTGAGGAGGAGGTCCCCAAGGAGGCTCCAAAGGGAGGCAAGCCACCAGCCGCCAAGGGTAAGGGTGTGGCTGAAGAGCCTCAGCTGAAGAAGAGGAAGTGGGGCCTAGGTGGTGGGTCTTTTGCAAGCTTCGGGACTTCAGTGTCCCACTTTGAAAAAGGCGCGTCCAAGTAGCCGAAGCTCCCCCAATCTTCGATAGACGCTGCAATGGTGGCTTAATTGAGGAAAATCATTGAAGAGGCGCAGCAAGCAGCCGAGGCAAAAAAGAAGGCCACTGTGGAGAGGACCCTAGGGAAGTCTGGGAACTTCCTGGGGGGCAGGGATGATAAGATTGCCCCTACTATGATTGAGATGCTCTCTGCCGAAGTGAGGGGTGCCACTAAGGGCTTCAACAAATTCTGGATGGAGAGGTGGCAAAATTATGTGGCC